AGACATTTCTTTTCCCACCTTGGGCTTCAGGGAGCTTTGACCTAAGCTGCGAGCTTCGGCGGCAGCTTCTCCGAACAGAATGCTGTCCTCATGGTGCGGTCAATGCAACCGTGCATGGGACCTGTATGCAACGTGTCCTGAAAAAGACTGCTACCAATGCTGCAACCAACAACATGGACACGTCGAGATGAAAGTCAGACAGCCAATCTCACGGCGACACAGTAGCGACAGAACAAATAAAACGAAAACCCTGTACATTACCTGCCGGCTTCGGTCTCTAAAGCCTGTCACCAAGTATGGTCACTGACCGGTCGACTTTGGGCACCGACCCATGCACGAAGCTTCCAAGATTTCGGCCTGCCAAGGGTCCGTTGTTAAGGCCGGTCCCGAGGTCTAGAGCTGAGGGTCACTGGCACGGAGGTGGTTTCTGAAAAAAACCCTCGTCCCCATACCGTAATTATCCCAGGTTACCGTTGCTACATGCTGACTGGCTAGCAGTGGCCTTACATCCAGCCAGGAAGGTGGATTTGATGTTAGCACAGCACTCTGCAGAATCTGTGCTTCCTGCCACACACTCCAGCCTTCGTCTTCGTCCTGTGTACCATCATGCAAACATATGGCAAACATCAGAATGATGCCGCGCCATGTTCCAAAAGACTGGCCTCAAATGGACGTTTCGGACTCTCAGTCTATGAAGATACGGCGGCCAGAAACGGCCAAGCCTTGCCATCCAACGAATCTTACCCGCTGAGTGGCCAAATCTCCATGCTGCGCTTTTTTCTGATCTCACGCCATGGCTCCCCTGTTTCAAGGATGTCTCACACATGGCACGTCTGCGATAGCGGTGCTGCCGGTGTAGCATTTTTCCAATGGGCATGCAAAGATGGCATCCGCATTCGTCATGCTGGCTGTGCGGCATACAATCTTAAGCTAGCTGCCTGCTGCTCCATGCCATGTACGTAGTGTCTGTCGGTCGCTAATTTAGCTTTGCATCTCATTGAAAGACCATCGACAGAGTCATAAATGGCAGCACCCGCGTGCTTCCAAGTTTAACTCTCCGTTCTACGTGGGAAACGTCGCCCCTATTCAGGGCAAAGTTTGCTACTGACGATTGCAACTACTGCTGCTGCTGCTGCTGCTAGCTGCCAGCCATGAACACTCGCGATCAATTTATCTTGTCTGTTCGTCGGAAAAGCCCTGGCTCTTGCCCCACCTGCTGAAAGGTGTGGCAATAGCTGCTGCACGTTCTGCTCGTAGGCCAGCAATCATGCTGATGAGCAATATCCGGGAACAAAAACTTCCACCTACCTTGGGTGAAACATCCAAAGACGGCATATCCTCGCCGAGCGAGGCTTCAGCTGGGGAAGGGTCTCGCCAAGGGCGCATCGAAAGGAGGCGAGTCCCAGGTGGCACTGGGAATGCACCGCTAAAGTCACCCAGGCATGCAACGATTTCCGAGTGATCTGTGCGTCCAGTTGCTATATCAAGTATGCACTACTCATCACAACAGCTTCTCCACTAGGGCTGCCACCTGGGCTGCATCTTTCAAGCACACACTTGTGAAAGACACGAGATGTGTTGGACCCCAGCTGAAGGCATAATCCTGCTTCCGACCGGACAGATGAGATGAGGTGCAGAAGGCAAGCACAAACACTTTGCTTGTCAAGTAATACGTATAGTAGCCAAACTGCCTTTTTATTCACACGCTTCTTGCTCTGAATGGCATTCTGGACTGCTGAAACTCTTTCTGCAGCGAACCTCTGTTGCCCAGTATTTGCTCACCGGAAAGATGTCGCAGAGGAAGGATGTCCAGAGGAAGAAGCTTCTGAGCCACCATAGCTCGACTCCTCCAGGGGGAAATGGTGCGGAGTCTTTGCAAAACTCATTGTCAGTGCTGCTCACACCTTTGCTGCGACTGCTATCTGTTTCCCAGTACCAGCACCACCCCTTGCCTGCTACGTCTGAACTGCGACCCCACTAATGAAGCTGCCGCCGCGACGGAACTCTAAATACTGGGGTAGGCCTCTTGCGCTCAGATTCTCATGTATGTCTGTCCCTTCGTCTGCGTTAGACTGGCATTGATGCTGCCATTGCTCTTTATCGTTTGTACTAGTGCGATTCCCGCTGTTGAAACACTGCCCATGATTCAACTGTTCTTAGTTCGGTACTGTTCCTGCACAGTCTTGCTGTGTTTGTCGCCTCAGGTACGATGATGGCGGTGGTGGGGCCACTTCTTCTCGGAATCTTCACACCATGCTTCTCCCGATCATGTCTGGGTGCCAAAAAGGTATCAGAGCCAGAGAGTCGGGAGATTCGGTTGAGCCCTATCGTTGATCCTGGAAGTATTCTCGTTATGGCAGTCACAGGGCTGCCTACCGTCATGTATCTCGTAAAGGACATGATGTTCGGAATGGGAGATGGGTGCTCTCTCCACGGCCCAGCTGCAACTAACATCCTTGACTTCAAACACAAACACCCTTGTACGAAACTGATATCTAACTAAAACGTCTAGCTGCAGTACATCCACGGGTTGTGAACGACTTTTGGAGTTTGCGTGTCATGCTCGCCACTGAAATGTCTCGTCCTGAGCCTGAAGTTGGGCCAGCTGGGCTTGCCTTTTCGCCTGGAGCTCCTTCTTTGCCTGCAGGCGAGTGGGCATCAACACCGCAACTCTGGCAACAAGCACTGCGAACGTGCGAAATATCGTACCCGCATGGAAGCACTCGAAAGCGTGGTGGCCATGTGATGCGAAAGTTCCCATTGAAAGTGCGGAACAGCAGCCTAACCGCCTAGCCTACAGTAGCCGTCCCAGCCCACCGGCTGGGGAGGGTTTTCTTCTCTGCTGCTTTTGCTGCTCAGGCTTGTTCACATATTGCGCCATTGAGCTACACCTTGCATGGTAGCCAGCAAGCCATCCACCAAGAACTGACGCCATCTTTCTTGGTTGTCCTTCTCGTTTAAACGGTACTAGTTACCATGTACGGACTGCTTTACTCGGCTGTGATATTTCTTCCCCGAAGAGCATACTACAAAGCACCGTGTTGCTTTGGTCTATGACTCCAGAAGTCTCGGTATGCTACATACACAAGCTGAAGCCTCCTCCAGCGACACTTTTGGCGACTTGACGGACTTTCGCGGCGGCTTTTCCTGACACAAATGGCATAGCAGAATTCAACAAGCCAACACGGCCCAGAAATGGAGCACAGACGAGACTCTTTGCTCGTCGCCTTCTGACCCATCCACGAAGTTCTCTATGCCGCAAGGCTACTAACCGGCCACGCCAGTCGTTCTCTGCTTATGGACACTCGCGCAACCCTCCCTGGGCAGTCTCTACTGTGCGAGAACATGTTCAGTTCAATCAGCGCCACACCACGCAAGCAGAACCGAGACTGTGGAAGAGACGGCAGAAGCCGCAATCACTGTCCAGCAATATATAGAAACAGACGAAAGCCATGGCCGTTGCTCACGCGCGCTCATCGATTCGCGTTGGTTTCCACTCTCCCTTCATGCTTCCGACGTGTTCAGCACATCTCACCATCGTGTCAGTTCACCAGTGTGAGGAGCATGTCTATGCTGGATGTGAGAGGAGCTCACAAGTCCAAGGAAGCATGACCGGTAGCAGATCTATGCAGGCAAGCATCGCTTCCGCTTCCGGCTTTGGGTCCTCATGATGAGAGTCCAGGTGTCTACTAATCATGGATGCACATGGTCGTGTATGCTTTGGTCACACCTAATTCTCAGGCTCTCTGCAGACATGTAATAACAGGTACTAACATGCGGAGCGGCGCACGTGGCACCCAATTCTCAGGCTCTTTGCAGACATGTATTAACAGTTACTAACGTGCAGAGCACGATTTGCTTCAGTGGCTGCTTGTGGTCAAAAGTAATAATCTGCATATGCTTACATGCTTGTGCTGTGTGTTCTTGCCCCCCCCCCCCCCCCCCCCNNCCCCCCCCCCCCCACTCCACCCCGCCCCAACCCCCCCCGGAAAGTTCAGGCATTGGGGGCTGGGAGGCGAGAAGTAGAGGCACGCACCCTCTCTGCAGATCATTAGGACACCGAACTGTTGCATCCTTCCAGCCAAACCCAGAAAACACCACATAACTCCGAAATAGGTGGCAAAACCTCCGGCAAACTGAAAGAGAAGATGCTAGGGCTACATTATCTATAACTGCATGTTTGACTTATTCTTTTTGCGAAAGCGCTGGTTTACCATTATCTGTTTCTTGATTTGCTCTCCTACCTCGTCGACAATCCCCGGGTGGTGGGTGGTGGGGGCATATCATGTTTATAAAGCAAGAGAAACCTAAGCAAATGTCAGACCATACCATTGACCATAGCCTGCCATATGATATACTGTGATGACACATCGTCGCCTTTGTGCATCTTCTGTACATAGACTCACCTGCATTTGCTTTGTTAGGCTTTGGGTATCCTTGGGTTCTGCATGGACCGGTTTTTGGGCCAAGCCACGACCTCGGCCTCCTTTGGGCGTACTGCCTCAGTCGAAAAAAAAGCCCGCTCGGACGGGGGGACACTTGGAGGCTCCGATATTCCCACTGGGGTTCTCACCCATTCCCAGAAGCTCAAGGAGACAACCACAGAAAGATCAAGGGATTTTGGGGCTTTGTGTCTCTACGTTGGCACAAGGTCTCAGATTCCAACACTCCAAAAGCCCAGTTCGCATGTTGGGGCTTCGTGGCAGATGCTGATTTTGCTTATGTTCCGCCATGATTCGCAGAAAAACTATGGCAGTCCTTGAGCCCAAGCAAGAAAACCATTCCGTGGCTTGAGTATGAACTGAACCAAAGCAGAAAAGACCTGGTAGGCCCAAATTAAGACTTGCCGTTACCTAACTCCACGCGGACATGCTGCCCTCAAGACCTTCATTGACAGATGCTCTGCTCAGCACTAGCCAAGGCATGGTTTGAAGCATACTAACGAGTTGTGACCATGACCTAGTTTCCAGCCCGGAAACCCTTCGCAGCTGGTGCCGTGCCTCTGTCAGCATCAGAAGCAGCCGAAGCATTGTCCCAGGCAGAACTCTGCACAACGGCATACAGGTTGGATAAGTCTTTGCCCAACCTGTCCTTGGAGCAAAAAACAGAGCAAATCAAATCGAATACCACCAACTGCAAGGCACTGCAGGAAAGACGCGAGCAAACTTCACTCCGAGTCGCAACTCTTTGTGCAACTCGCATAAGGTCTCTTGACTGCGCACCTTGCCACTGCGATGCATTTCAATGTTCCACACCAATGTCAACTCCTGCCGATCACCCTGTAGGGCTTCATCACTCATGCCGGGACAGCAAATCGGCCTCCCTTCATGCGTGCCAGACCATGGAAAAACTCTTTGGTCTCAATACCACCATCACCGTCATCGAGAAGATCGAAGAGTTCCTGCCCGGCATTCTTGCAACAAGCAGAACAAAGATGCCAACAACAGTAGATAGTCTTGGAAACATCATACCGAAGTGAGGCTCAACCGAGAACACAACCATTTCAGGCTACGCGCATCTTTCCCTTCCGCCAGGTATTCCCATTTATCCAGTAGCAGAGGACAACCTCAAACCCTGGCGCATGCAGCCCTGAAATCGAAACTCGGCCTTGCATTCTTCGGGCTGGAAATCCAGCAGGCGCCATTTCCTCGGATCCGGCTGCAGCCGCTCACCACGTGGCCTGCTGGCCTCGACCGAAAGTGACGTGACTCCGAGCCTGGCAAGTATGATGAAACAGCACTTGTTCCGGTAGACATGCTGAGTTGGTTGGGCGAGAACGTGCCGCCTGGTCCGCTTATCTCATCTTACCACTTGTCTTGGCTTGGCTGTGGTATGGGTTTCTCATATTGGCGTCGCGTGCTGCAGTGCTTCGGCCTGCTGCAGCTCTGGGATCCAAGATTCTCTCGCTTTCTTCCTGTCTTGCCTGGATGGATAGGTCCTGACCTCTATGTTGGAATTCCTCGCACGACTTTTGCCCGAAATTCCTTTTCTGACCGCGTCAGGTTTCGGTGCTTGCACAACTTCGCACGTCATGAAGTCCTTCATCGGGTCTAAGTCTAAACTTTGCAGAATCATTGTCAGAATATCGGTGCCCCTTTACGTCTGTATACTTCGCCGGTTCAGTACACGGAAGCAGCCGCGCAAAAGGTCGCCCCCGGCGCCCCCCGCCACACCCTCCAAATTGGCGAGGGCTTCTGTCATTTGCCATTGCATTCGTGGCTTGGGGCTCCGGGCTCCACGACACTCCACTGGGAGCAGGCTGAGGCTAGCACCCTGACAGGTCGTAATACGCTGAAAAGAGTTCATCCCCGATGACGTGCTTTTATTGCAGTGCAGCAGCCGGCTCATCTCCTCGTCATGGAAAGCATTCTCGAACCTGAGCACAGCTAGTGTTATTCTTACCGCTTATTCTTCCAATTGTCGTTACTATTATCACGTTTTCTTGCATCTGGGCTTGGGAAGTCGGCCGGGGAAGTGTCAGAAAGCAAACTTGTCACTACACGGAGGAAATTAAAGCCAAGCAGGTGTCCTTCGCCCGCGAATGCCTTCAAAGCCTCTAAAGTTTGAAAAGAACCTTTGATTAATGTCCTGCATGTGCGCTACACCTTAAGAAAGCACAAGCTGTCGATCTCTCCGTCCCATTGCTGCCGCGCAACTCCTCCCAATCCAAGGTGCCATCTCCATCTGCATCCATCAGATAGAAAAGTTGCCTCGTGGCTCAACCCCTCCACTCTCACACTCTGACCAAGGCTCACCCTACAAGCCCGCAGACGGAGGATACTCCTCTTACTCTTGCAAACACGAGGTGCTCAAGCTCTTTGAGCTCTTTGCGCTTGACTTCTTCCATCCTTGGTGTGGCATTGGCATACTCTGTGGCTCGAAGCTGGAGAACTTCATCAAACTCATTACTTCCAGTTCTAACGTAGTCTGGATTTGCCCGAGGGTTGAGTAGAGCGATGAGTCGTTCTCGCTACAGACCCGAGACATTAGTGCTCAAGTTCTTGCTGATATTTGCTTCAGCCTATTCGCGTCTGTGCGAGATTGTTTACCCTAGCAGGAGCAGGAAACAACCTCGGGTTCTGCATCGGGGCCAGGCACACATCGAGTTACAGTGCAGCTATGCCTCTGCTTCAACCGCTGGTCCTCGTCCATTCTGGAGGCAGACATAGCGTTTTCCACCTCAGAGAGCAGTGTTAGCTTCACATCTCCCCTGCGCAGCTGGACAGAGGAGAAGCGGAGCTGAGCGAAGCTATGTCCGAGCCTTCTTGGCCCCCAAAGTCTTTCTTCTCAAAACCAACTCGGCTCCCGGCAATGATGGCCGTCACGAGGTTCATTAACACGAAAACTGCCACAGCCTCGGACACACGCGAACTTGCACCATTCCCGGTAAAATCCTGGCAGCCTTCCAACATGGTCTCAAACGTGGGCGCAGGTGCTTGAAACCACGTCTGTGGAGTGCCGTCAAGCTGAGGCCCTCGCAATATACATATAGAAATATACCAAACATGTCGGCGTGAACCTGCCAGACGACTTCGCCCGCGAAGCGGCGCAGAAGCTCCCGAGCACTGAGCTTTCCAGGTGCAGGCCAGGTGCAGCATGATCTGTTCCATCTTGGCGTTCCATGAGTCAAGCGTTAAGAACTGGATAAGAAGCCTCCACCGGCAAGAGCAGACGCACAAAGACTTCTAGCTCGCCGGCGACAGTCCCAAAAAAAAAAAGTCCAGAGCTTGCGCTCCCTCCGCCTTTCCCTGGCAAGGGGCTGCATCAGCGGAGCGATGCCCTGCACCATCCTATATGTCGGCTCCAGCTGCTCCTGTCTTTCCTGTCACAGGACCGCACATGTGCTGCACATGGGGCCTGCACTTCTCCGTGCACTGCTCCGACAAGGAGCATAAGCCGTTGCACAAGTTGCCGCATTTGCATCGTCATGAAGCCATCATGAAGCAGCTGAAGCCTGGTCCAGCATGGCGAAAGCCACGGGGTCTCGCATTCCTCTGATCTCGTTGCTGATGAGCCAGCAGCCCAGAATGGCAAAAATGTACGTCAGCACCTTGGCCGCAGACGTCTGTGCTATACCGTTGACCTCTGGGACATGATGCTTACTGCTTTGTTGGAAGGCCGCCAGACAGCAGCTTTCCCGAGCATTCAGCAACACCCAAACAATGTGCATCCATGAGACTCAGAGGCATCGACACTGTTGCATGGCAGCTGTGCACCGATACCATCGATTTGGGTTTGCGCTCTCGCAACTCGGACACATGGTTTTGGATGTCGGGTCATGGACTGAGATGCTGGCGAAAATAACTGCCACCGTCCAAATTAAAGTGCGCAGGGAGCTCGTCAACCCTCTCAAGAGGAGCCACACTTCCTGGAAAGGCACGCAGTTAGGCTCAAGCTGTCGAGATGGTATCATGGTGCGATCAAAGCACAGACTGTCCACTTTGGCCCGAGAGTCTCTAAACATCGGCATTTGCTGGATGACGCGGACTATTCTCAGCAATCTCAGAGCTCGGAAGACAGAAAGCATCCGCATCTCTCCTGTTCGCATCACTTCAGTCATGTGATGCTGCTTGAACTGGCCGACAAGAACGAAGGAACAGGAAAAGTGGTCGGGAACATGTCCTGCATAGAAGTCCACCTGCCCCGTAAGCAGGAACACTAAAGGCAGAATCCAGCCAGAGAGTACGCCAGAGAGTACCACGATGACCGCCTTAATGCAAGGGCGATTGTCATGGCCTCTGTCAGCAATGCCACTAACAGAGTCTTTGCCTTTCGGGAATTTTCGGGAATCAGAATCCCGGATCTAGCAAAAGCTGTAAGCCAAACTGTTTTCGGCTCCAATGCAGGTCCGTGACGTCAAGGAAGTTCATCCAACCTTGCCCGAAGATTCGTCACATGCATTACAAACGGTTGACACACTGACGTATCTTCAGTTGATGCAGTGCCCAGTGCAAGTCAGAAGCCTTCCAATCTAGTCAGCGAAAAATACCATCGACCATATACACGCAGTCGCGCATAAATCTCGAAGGTGAAGAGTGCCTGCAGTCTGCGACTAAAGCTGAAGGTGCAGAGCGTGCCAATGGCTACGTCCACGACTCCACCACTCTCTGAATATATTTTTGGCTGCAGATACCTTCGGCCAAGGAGCAACAAGCGTATGCTCTATTATCCTCACAGTGAGGACAATGCCATCAGAATACTCCTCTTCCTCACAGGGCAGTCTCGCAGTGTGTCTCACATCAACGTACGAATCAGCACAACTAAGCCGGGGGCATTGACCAACATGTCTGCTTGAAGGCCCATCCTTAGTTCGCTACAAAGTAGGAGGTCCATAAAGCCAGAATACACGAAAACTGCGAGCACTCGGAAACTCCAGGCGAGGGCTACTGCGAGACTGTACCAACCCGGCAATACGTTTTCCCGTTACAGCCGGACACAGTAACTCAAGGCATAACAATGCGGAAACTTGCTGAGAAGTTCCCCAAGACCAGGAAGATTAGGTCTGACAGAAACATACGGAAATTAACCCAGCTGTGCAACCCAACAGCACATGGAAAAAACGATGCTTCGGAGTGTTAAAGATGCTGGTGAGGCCTGGTGAGCTCGGATGCCTGTTAGATGCGAAAATTCCAGGGAACTGCACTCCCAAGACTTTGCGGAAGAAGCTTTGTCATGCGAAGACTTGTTCGCGTTGCTTACACTACTGAGGCTTCCTATGACTACAACGAAACCGTCCTGAAAACCCTTGAAGACGCCCAAGCTGCAAGTGGCCAAATCACCGAAGCTGCGACGATCGAGACTGTATGTCACCCGTACTATTCGTTTCTGCTTTTGTCTTCAGTGCCTCAATTCCTGGAATCCTGGTACGCCCCCACCAATGATAGAGTCATGCCGTCGAAGTTAGAAGGCCCACGCAAACCGAGCTTACAAGCCGCTTCGGTTAAACCGAATCTCAACTGGCCCAGGAGGCAACGTCTCGAAAACACACCAACACAAGTCCGTTTTGTCTGAGGCAAGAAGCGTAAAGCAGTTGACGAGGATGCACAGGCTGTAGAAGATGTCGAAGAACTGTCAGGAAGTCAAACAGATAATTGCAATCGAGCAAGCCCGATGCAGCTCGCCATTCTCTCTCTCTCTCTCTCTCACACGGACTCGAATATGGTGCTCAAAGTTAAAGTGGGGCGATGGCTAATGCTGAGAGAATGCCCTGCCTGATTCTGGACGAGACGGCCAAGTCGCGTCTGAGGCTTGTATATGGCCGGCCTTTGGTTCTTGGACTGGGGTGCTCCGGTCCGGGGCGGCTGCTACAGTCTAAGCAACATTCCGGCTTTGGGGGCTGTCGTTGCAACGCGAGGATGCTTACCGGCCATAGAGACAAGCCCGACGCGGAATTCCCCTTCCCCTAGATAACTCCACACTTGCTTAACCATCGGCAGACCGTGTGAGTTTTGCTCGGTTCCTGCACGCTCCGGACAAACCATGCGGCAAAAGCTTTATGCTCTGCACTCGGACTCTGCCTCAACGTTTTGGTCTTTTGCTTGACCTTGGAAAGCGGATGGTGTTCGACTATGCAGGCCACAAAGCGAACACATGCAAAGTCACACGGGAATAATTATAGAGAATGCGATTGAGATCGTTCCAGATCTCGCACCAGCAGCAAACCAAAAAACTGGACTTCCCCCGACGGTTATGCCTCCATCGGGACAAGATCATGCCGCATCGGTCCCTGTATCTTCGTTTCTTGCTGCTCTGTATCAAACTCCGATAGGACGGCATGTGGATTGCTACTTAGCATGAAAGGCTCTAGTCGCGCCCTACTCAAGCACGACACTCACTTGGCATGCGTTCAGCCCAGCTAAGGACAGGTCCATCGACGGACTGCCAACGCCACTTGACCTTGGGTTGTTGTCCAAATTATGCAGCGCAGGAACGGAGATGCGGGGTTCATGGGACCCCGAGTGTGCTATGTTGTGCAAGCCGACATTTTCCGGCTAAGGTTCACATCATCTGCGCCGTCAGAAACGACTTTGATGTCAATGTCCTCGGATGGTCCTTGGTAGGATCATGGCCAAGCCGGTAGATTCTCCCGGTAGATGCCTACAACTCATGCGTTCCGGGGCCAATACGACTGCCGTGGGAAACTGCTTCCAAAGCCTGCGCAACGGACTGCAGAAACCGGCAGGAAGTGCAACATCTTGTGGATCTGAAGACCGCCTGCCCTCGTCAATACCACATACACAGCAGACCGAGCTGAGCAAAGGCGCGACAAAAGTTCGTATTCGACTCTCTTCAACCCTTATATGAAAACCTGTAAATATACACGTACATATGTATATGTATATATGTATATATATATATATATACAATTGTATACATGCATGAATGTGTGTATGTGGATACATATATACATATATGTGTGTATATGTATTCATGGACCATATATACATGCATACATACATACATACATACATACATACATACATGTGTACATATATATATATACGTGTGCTTGTGCGTATGTTCATTTAGACAAGTAACCTTTGTAGGCCCCTCTATATATACCTAAACCTATACTTATACCTATATCACTACGTATGTAGATACAGAGCCCTTATAGTGACACACCGTGACCACTGCAAAGGCCTCCGTCGTCTGAGAAGTCTTCGAGCGGAGAGAGCCTGCCACGATGGCCGGACAGCTGATTTCAAACTTCGCATGTTGCATGTGAGTGCTGCTGCATATGCATGTACGTTTTAAGTATACTTTTTTCCATATGACCGAATCTTCTACGTATCTTGTGCCAACAAGTTAAAAATATAACATTTGTTCAGAAAAGTACATGTTGCAGATCATGCTATACATGTTGCACTATATGTGGCATGTTGCATATACTGCTCCGTGGTTTTGCATCCAGGACTCTCGCAACCAGCCGGGAAACTCCGCAAGACAGCAACGCAACCCTCCAGCAGCGGAGTAGTTCTATACCCTAAGTTCTGAAGGGCCAAAAGGCTGATCAACAAATCTCTAATCTAACCTATGGTATGCAGTCTGTATTCCAGATTCAAGACTGTGTACTGTATAGTTTACATCGCATACTATGCGTATATATGTTTGGTCTTTGTTATGTATTGCTGGCTAAGTACAAGAAATCATATATGACTATACACCATACATTTGTTGTATGCTTATGGAATATCATACGGAATGTATGTTGAACTTTATTTTAGATTGCACGCTTAGCATTACATTCTACTTTCCAGACACTGCTGTTTTACATAGAATGTCTTACAATACTATAGTTCATGCACCTATACTATAGCTTGTGTTTTCGACAGGGTGTCTTTTGTCTTATTTGTCAAGTTTTTCATCGTCCACACTGTACATTCTGTTATGCACTGTCTGTTACATGCTATGTGTTATGTAGTACATATTGAGTCTGTACTTGTTATCGAGTATGCTAAAAAGGCATATGCATACACTCATACAGGCATTCCGGAATTCATGCGTATGTAAACGATGGCATGTGGCAGCTGCACATGTGGCAATGCACAACTATTGCCACCACCGCGATATATATATATATAAATACATACACATATTTAGTAAATGTGTATGTGTGCATGTATGTGGGGAAAACAATATCTATGTATACATATATATATATATACAAATATGTATGTATGTATCTATGTATGTGTGCTTTTGCATGGGTAACATCCAGTTGTCTAGAAGTAGCTGGCGTAATCGAAAAGCATAAATTATAAACTGATGATTGCACATGCACACTGTACCCTTTGTTTCTACTACTGAGAGGACACGACAAGAGGTGGTAGCTACATGTGTAGATACTATGCATGTATGTGTGTGTATATATATACACATGCGAAAAGCCGAAACAAAAGTCATTTTGACCACAACGCATACATGTATCAGCAGATAACTCAAGCACGCCATGATCAGAAACAGCCATAACTCATAGTCTGTGTATATTTGTACGAGAGCACTCTATCTGAAGACACTTGAGCAGTTCGTTGACAGGTCGCTACACGCAAATACTGTTAAACCACACGTACGTTACAGCCACAGCGTCAACATGTGGACAACATAGGTTTGGTTGTCACAGCCGACTGCATGCCGGCGCAAAGATTTTAGGATGACGAGCTTTGTCACACTCTCAAGGGTGCTGTGAAGAAGCACATCGGCATGGCATGAGTTTGCACCTGGACACCTGTCTGCCAGTGCGACATGTGATTGGCATGTCATCGGGACAGCGCACGCAGGAATGATCCCGGCAATGCTTGCCAGCTTGCAGGACGTGGTGGCCGTCTCTTGGAGATGTGGCTAAGGCTGCGCGTTGCACTTAGTTCTTTTCTTGTGCTTGTGCTTGCATGAGCCTGCGCGGACAGGTTGGAGTCGCACCGATTGCTCGGCTTTTACCAGAACTGGCCTGTGGGGTTGGCGCTTATTTCGACCTTGCAGTCTTCAGACGTCCTGCGACCGTGCTCGCTGCTTTTTTGGGCCAGACTGGACGAGCAAATGATGGACTGGGGTTTTAGGGCTGTGCTGCAGCGCGTTTATTGCAGCGTGTCACATTCCAACACTCTGCACGACAATATCCAGGACCTGGGTATGGAACGGAGAGCGTTGAATAACATTACCGAAACCTGGGAAGTGTGAACATTGCAGCATCCAAACTGCTAGGTGTATAGCCGTACATTGAAGCGAACGACATATTCTCAAATGTTGGGACATCGAACTCATCCGTTTGTGACTCAGTTCGACGCAAAGCTTCATTGCATGGTCCTTTTAATCAGAGCTTCCCTTTACTGGCTCGTTCTTGCTTCATGGGACGATGTGGCTTCGCCTGATGTTTGCTCGTGTGCAGACCGCGATATGCCCCAGGAAAGCTACTGAGTATGTGAAAGCTTCCTTGATGGACGGAAGCAAAGTCAGCGCATGATGAAATCCACGAACCGCTGCCGCCAGTCTCGTTTGCATTTATTGACAGTGAGTTCCTCCGCAAAGATAGTCTTCTGCTGCATTTCGGACAGTCCTTGACTTCGGGTAGAAGCTGCTCGGTGACGAGGGCATGGAACAATCTCAGGGCAGGCCTTTGTCGATCTCCTACCCTCCTCTGTCTAGCATGGCAAGTACACAACTTCGCAAAGCTTAGAAGAGAACTTGTAAAGAACCCAGAATGCTACCCTCGCTTGCCAGCCTTGCATGCGCTTGGACTCCACTGATGGGCCAAAATCCTGCAAATCGGCTGGGATTATCAGTCAAATAGCTGCGCCACACACACCCCGTCAAATCGCGCCGCCTCAAGAACACAGCCAGTGATCGCACCACCCACCCAGCCCGACGGCATGTTCGAAACCAGCGGTTGCTTGCATTGCATATGGCACAAGGGTTTGACACTAGGCTTCGTTCCTCTGTGCAACCCGCGCTCAAGTATGAATGGCCACTCCGAGTTTCCAAGAGCAGCCACGTCCTTCTCTCGAATCCCAGGCGAGGCTTCGGAATTCGACTCAGAGGGGACCTCCTCCAGGAGCAGGGTCCCTGCATGCCTCGCTGCTTGCGGGGAATGCTGGGTGACTCTCGACCAAGCCAAGGTCAAACAGACTGGGAGCCACAAGGCTACCCCGGCAGTAGCATACTTCCGCCAAGTTTCGGCGTCTGCTTCCTGTTCGAGTGGCCTTGGATTCTGCAGAGTACATTATCTCCTTCTAACGAGGTGTGCGACACGAACTGAACGCTTGCTACCAGACAAATTCGAAGAATCTGAATCGACGGACTTGCAAGCGGTCATAGCCATGGTCAACGGTTCATTGCAACGAAAATGCAACAATGCTAGAACAGTTAGAGTCATGCATGGTCAGTAACGAAGCAGCAGCAGCAGCAGCAGCAGCAGCAGCAGCACAACAGCGACAACAAAAAAGCCGTAGTTCTCATGCGAGAACCACGTCCTACAAGTACCATTCAGTAAACAGCAAAAGCAATCAGAAGAACAGAACACATAGCTGCAACGCGCAATGGCAATCGAGACACCAACATAAATGGCCTGATAATTCACTGTGGTGACACTTCGGCAAGCAACCATAAGGAGTAAAGCAGGAATAAAATACTTCTACTGTTGCTGCTGTTGCTGTTGCTGTTGCTGTTGGTGCTGTTGCTGCTGCTGCTGCTACTACTACTACTACCACCACTACTACTACCACTACCACTACCACTACCACTACCACTACCACTACCACTACCACTACCACCACCACCACCACTACTGCTATTGCTACTGCTACTACAGCGTCCCGGGAATTTAGAACAATTGTTTGAACAAGATTGAATCTAGGTCTCGCTAAACCAAGATTGCAAGAGGGCGGACAAGATTGCCAAGCAGTCTAGCAATCTTGGTCCCCAAAATAGTTAAACTAGTCGGCGAGTAAGTGGGGCAAGGGGGGCGGGGGGCAAGATCGCCAGCAATCCTGCAAGCTTGGCATCCACAAGGTAAACTAGTCGGCGAGCAAGTGGGGCAAGTGGACCAAGAGTGCCAAGATTAGCAAAATCGTGGAGATGACCAGGTTGACCAAGATGGTTTCATCAAATAATTGTTCTAAACTCCGCGCACAATGTTGTACTACTACTACTACTACTACTACTACTGCTACTGCTACTGCTACTGCTACTGCTACTGCTACTACTACTACTACTGCTACTACTACTACTACGACGACGACGACGACTACGAATACGACTACGACTACGACTACGTATACGACTACGACTACGACTACGACTAAGACTTCTACGACTGCTACTGCTACTGCTGCTGCTACTACTACTACCACCACCACCGCGACTACTACTACTACTACTACTACTACTACTCCTGCTGGTGCAACGGACCTCATTCGGATGCTCTTGGAGGTGAGTCGGACCGACTCCCATCCAAAGTACGGACGAGCATCAACCAACTAGGCCAAGAACACATGCCTTTCGATGAGCTGCGTTTGGGTTTGAGGGCACCATCAGTCGAAGACGCGCTCGACCTGGGCGGAGGAAAATCAACGAACATGACTAGAATTTCAATCTGCGTCAAGGACAAGCATCCCGAACGTTAATTATCGCGATTGCTGCCATCGGCCAAGGGGCTCCAGCTTCGTGCTGAGATGGGGATCTGCACCAAGCGTTAAGGAACCCTTTACGAAACTTAAATTTGTGCGGTCTTAGACGGACAGGAAGCTTCTGACACTCTTCGAGATGTGACATCTGCCGAGGCCAACTGCAGCACCGCCTCCAGGGACTCCAGTGTCAAAGAGTGGCGGAGCCAGCTCGGCCGCTAGCTCGCTCACTCTCGGGGCACGAGAGTGCCTGCAGAAATGTTCGCCAAAACCAAGCCCAGATAATGACAGTGTACTGACGTAACTCTAGCTCTAGCTAGAATGTACCGACAAGCTGAGCTCGCAATCTGGGTCACCTGTGAAATGAAATAAAGTTGAAACTCGAATGCCAGAAACAGGCGCCCTGCCTGTTCGCCGGCCCCAGCAGGTTGGAAAACGGGTGTTTGGAACCGAAAACCTGCCTCAGAAAGAGTGGTGATGCATAGGAAACCTTCGTCTCGAGAGACATGAGGCGGCGGCCAAGCAGTTGGGGGAATAACTCTTTTCTTGGGCAAATAACTACCGTCCTTGGCGAGTTGCTCATGCAGGTCCTGCGTCAGCCTGTCCAATTCCCAAGCCACCACATCCTTGATCTGATGCATGCGCATGCTCGACCATTCCTGTCGCGTCTGCTCCGAGCTCACGCGAAACACAATGTGCAAGTGGCAAGCTCGCATGCTATCTTCATGTGTGAGACGGACTGACTGACAAGGCACGAAGGAACGAAAGGCATGCTCAAATCAAATCTACATCGAGACGCTCCGCTTGCTCTTGCACTTTTTTCTGCTCCTTCCTCTTCGTCTTACTCCTACTACCTACTCCTACTCCGCCCCCTCCTACCCCCACTCCCATTCCTACCAGCCGCTCCTACTCCTTCCCCGTTCGCCCTGCTCCCCGGGCGCGTCCTGATCCTACTCCTACCCCACTACCCCTACCGTGTTCTGAAATCCTAATCTCACATCAGCTGGTGAGAATACACATCAATGCCGGCAGACGCTGGTTTAGGGAGAAAACACATCAGCGGGGAAATTACACATCTGAACTAGCTAAACCCCATGTAGACGCTGGTTTCAAGAAGCACGAAGCAGATAGGCCAAAATGCGGGATTTGTTGCGGACGCTGGGGTATATACTACATTTGGAAGCATTCCAAGATAAGAAACCGGTGTGTTTGCCATGTAGACGCTGCGATTTGGAGTATTCCAATCGTCAGCTATCGTAAGGGCTCCTGGACCATGCACAGCTCACAAATCTGCCATACACAAGCACACGCTCGTGCGAAGATGCGGGCGCACACGCTCACTGACACCGACAGATGCGAGAGCGTGCTGCAGACGGCGAAGAATATGAAGGTGAAGATACAGAGCTTGATGAGATGATATGACGTCTGTAATGCGTTCCCCGAAGTAGACGCCTTGCAGATGCGTAAAACACCCAGCTGATACGAGATAGCCCCGGGACCGAGTAGTGCTACTAGTACTGCTATAGTACTACTCCGACTACTCCTGCTGCTGGTACTACTTCTACTTCTACTTCGACTTCTTCTACTACTACTACTACTACTACTTCTGCTACTACTACGACGACGACTGCTATTGCTACTCTACTGCTACCACTGCTGCCACTACGACTATATCCTCCTCCTCCTCTGCTGTCTCTGATTTTGTTTTCCAAGTTTGTCCGCTCGAAGTCACGGTCGGCGCTCCAAGCCGATTACCCTCTCCCGTCTGGAGTTCGACAGTCCCACTGGCTGACTCTCTTGGAGGATGAAACAGACGACAAAACGCCCTGATTTTTCTTGGTCCCATTGCTTCGTCTGATGCTTGCCTTTGCTTTGGTGGGTGGTCTGCCTTGGCCTGCTTCCTGTTTGACGTTTTCGCCGCCTTGTCAACCTTTTGCTTGCAGTGCTTGGGGCATCCATCCGGCTTGCTTGGGAACATGACTTCGACAGCCTACTAGTGACATACAGGTGCTTCGTGTGTCTTTCGACATGGCATACAGTCTACTGCATACCACGTGTGCTTAGCTTCAGCTGCTATCGTAATCTCTGCCCTGTCTCCCCTATGGGACTAAATACATCCTGTGCATACTGCTTAGCTACCTATGCGCCTGCCTTTTCCCTTTCTTCCCCTTCGTCCTTAGACCAATTTCAACTTCAAGGAGTGAACAGAGGGAGGGAAAGGACAACTACCCAAAAACCCGTCCAAGCATCCTTAAGGAGACCCTATTTACCCCCCCCTTTTTGCATCCAGGACTCTCGCAAAAAACCCAAAACCCGAAACCCCCACAAGGCTCGGAATTCACCGAGTGCACCTGAAAGAGATCCCGCTGACCAGAGCTGCTCGCGCTCTCGCGGGGTCCCATCCTGGCATTCGCCGCTCGTAGCTCATCCTGCAGGCTCTTGGGCGCTTTTTTGCTGAACTGTTCTTTGAGGTTTCAGGCTTCTTTTGGTAGGGCTCTCTGCAAACTGCACAGCAACTGTGGAAAGACAGAATCCTGTGTTAGCTGCGGCTGGACATGTGAGGACAGCATGGAACGGCCAGCAATGCTAGCAGGCATCATTTCTGGAATCTGGCCTCGCCATCAAGCACAGAGGCATGTTTCGGCGCATGCATTCTCGCGGTTTGTTCGCGAGGGTTGCCAAGCTCCCCGTTGAACATTTGCGCTTGGAATCCAACCATCAATGGACCATCAAAGAACATTAGTACAAAGCAGAAGGTATAGGGAAGCATCGTTTGCATTTCAGCGTGCGACCTGCATTTTGCAGGGCCGTATCGTAGCTACACAAAGCCTCATGCCATCAAGTGCATACAAATGGCCTTCGCCAAATGGCTTTCGCGGAAGTGTGAATGTATGCACAAACAAGTGAAACTCTTCAAAATGCATTTAAAACTCGATGAACTGTCTTTTAAGGTGGCTCCATCTCAATCTCTGGAGGCAAATCATCGGGCCGGAGGGGCGCGGCCAAGGTATTTAAGTCTTTCGGCCGATTTCTCGTGCTGCGAAATTTGACGTTTGAGATCGATGTCGTCATATGCTGGGCAAACTCGGCAAACTGCTGCTGCAGCTCGTTGTGAAAATCTTCGAAGTGCCGCAGGCTCTCGTCCTTGAGCTCGCCTATCATGCTTTGCAAGGCTTTTGTGGCCAAGAGCGAGGCCACTGTATCGCTCTTATTTATTTCGCCGCGGATTTTCAAGAGGCCCTGCAGAAGCTCTGTGATTTGAAGCGTGCCACTTCCATCCGCATCGATGATCTCGAAGAGATTGGCACGATCTGGTGGCAAATCAAGATCATCCATGAGTTTCTGCACACCTCGATCTTGAATGACGAGTAGGAAGAGCTCCTTTGTAATCTCCACCTTGTCCTGCAACCCTTCCTCCGTGAAGAGCATGTGGGAAGGCAACTTGTCTAGCTTGTTCTTGCCGTCCTCCTCGTTGAATACATGGTAGGCTCCAGCAAATTTCTTCAGCAACTCACGCGTAGTTCGAGCGACACGAATGGACTCCCTGGCATGCTGTTCAGCAGTGACGGCGTCATTCTCTTTCGCAGCTTTCATCGTTATATCAACATAAACTGCCAAGATCACATTGAAAATCCCCATCGTCACGAGCATGTAGCTGACAACATAGAACAAAATGAACCTGCACAGTTCTATGGGTCGTAGGTCGATGGTTATGCCATGTGCTGCATGCACGGGCATGTTCACAACCGAGCTCCGAACGGCAATCCGAACGCATCCGCGAGCAAGAAGTTTATTGGCTCCCCTCGTCTGTTCACGCACTCCCCGTTAAAGCACCGGAAGGCTGTGAACATGGCCGCAGGAATATTGTAGAAGTATTCCTCCAGTTCCAGCTCTTTGGTCCTGGTGTCGCTGCCTATTGTCATAGTAGCGAAACCAGAGATCACATACAACACGGCAAAGAGCAGGAGGAAGGCCAATGTTAGGGTTCGGATCCCCGCAATAAGGCCTTTCACCATCAGGCGCAAGTCCTTCATGAACTTGATGCGGAAGACCTTGTCAGGTGGATCACAAGAGGTATGCACATACTGACTCAAGCACACTCTTAAAGAACCGTTAACGTCGCTAGCTTCCAGTGCAATGACAGTCCTGTGCACTAACTGACCTCACGACCATCTTTTAAGCCCGGTGACCTTGACTATACGAACCAAGCGAATCAGCCGGCAGAATCGCAACAGCGATGCTCCTGCAAAAGCTGAATCCTCTTCTCCAACCATCTGGACGGAGATATCTAAGATGCCGGTGGCAGCGAGGAATAGATCGAACCAGTTCCACCAACGCTCAGTGCCACACCAGTAATTCCGACAACGCAGAAGGTGCATACGCAAAGCGATTTCCAACAGCAAGAAAGCTGCAAAAACAAGCTCGACATAGGTCCAACCCGGCCACTCGTCAAAACCAGGCTCGGTCTGCAAACCAATCATTACGCCGTTGCCGACGATGAGAATCGCCACCAGCGGCTCAATGTACATGAGTGGATGGACCGGCTCTGGTGGAGCTGCGAG